TGTTTAAAATGTTCAGTTTTTATTCTAATTTTTTCAAATTTTTTTCCATAAAATTTGTTCATGTTTCAGCAGCAGTACCAACTGGTGCTCGTTGTACATTTGAGGATGAAAATGAGGAGAAAACAGGTTGTATTGGGTGGCGTTTGGAGACATATTATGTTCATAACAGTCGAAGAGCACATGAAAATAAGCATCTTTTCATTCGAGCTAATTCAAGCGATGCAGCAAAACAATCATCACTGAAGCATATCCCATCGAGAGATCACACTTTTCAGCACAGTAATAATAGCGGTAGCCTTTTATTTTTATCTTTCAAAATATATTATCTGTCTGAAAAATATAGGAAAATTAACGAAAAAATAAAATTTTTTAAAAGCCTAAAAAAATGAATTATTTTATTAAAATTTTGGTGTATTTTTCATTTTTTTTTTCAGGTCATTTTTTATATTTTACATCGGAAGATGGTCAAGAACGAAATAGTTTTACGGATACAAAATCAACATATTTAATATCACCGTATTTTCCACCAACCGTTAATGTACTTCTCAATTCTCTTTCACTTCCATCAAATTCATGCAGGGTATTTTTAAATAATTTATAAATTTGCTAATGATAAAATCATTGTATCCAAAAGATATTTTAAAGCATTTTTTTTATTTTTAAATTTATTTTTAGATACGATTTTACTATTGTTCATATGGAAGTGCCATTTCGACGTTACAATTGACAGTGCATCCGATAAATGGTAAACCACCTAAAATCATTTGGACACCACCATCACTCTCCTTCACTGATCACAGTTACTACTGCGAGTGGATAAAAGTATCCATTGATTTACCGGAACAGGTTTGTTCGTTGAGAAAAAACGAATTTATTCACAAATTTTAATTAATTCCTTTCATTGTTTTAGTTTTTATTTTCTAAATTCCCTTTAAATTTTTGTTTTTAATTTACCGTATATTTTATTTTAATCTATTTTATCTTATTTTATCATATCATTTTTTTTCACTTTACTTATACCTCAAATGCATGCAAAAATTTTCATTTTTTCATCGAAATATTTCAATTAAAAAAATTTCTTTACTTTTTTTATTTTAAACACTTTTAGAAAAGTGAATACTATTTAAAAATGGGTGTGAGCAGAATATTTGACTCATCAATAAGTTTTGCCATTGATGATTTCTCGATGACGCCAGATTGTTTCATAAATGGTCCGTTATCTTTTTTTTGTTTCTCCAAATTTTAAAATTTTTTTTCCGAATAAGTCGATATTTGCTTCTTTTTTTCAAAAAAATAAATTGATATTTTGAACAATGTAATCCTTTCTTATATGCATGGTCTATAAATTTTTTAAAGAGAATTTTTATAATGAAATAAACGAGTGTAATTTAGAAGAAGCGTGGCGTACGCAGTACATTCCTTACGTATACAATATAACAAGCTGTGGACAGCAGGGATCTCATCAACCAACATATGAAAATTGCGAAAATTTCTACAATCAAAGGTATGTGAGCGATATTTTTTTAGAAAAAAAATTACTCTAAACGTTTACTTTCGATATTATTCATCTGATCAAATCATTACTTTTACTTTTCAATTAATTTTCTGGAAGATACCAAATAAATTGACGTGTAATTGTGTAATTATTTTGTAATTGTGACAGTTACGAAAAATTGAGTCGTGAATTTATGATATTTACTAAATTTATAATTCTGACAAGTATTGTTGTTAAGTTCCCTTTTTTTACTGTGAAATTTTTTTAGTGCAACAATGGCGTTATTGCGAAATAATACTTCCAATGGATTCCAAAAATGGATTGTACCAAAAACTGGAGAGTACAGGTATTTATCTCATCTTTTTTCACTAATTTTTGGAGGAATAATTTTTTCATTTTTCTTCATTTTCCAATAGACATTTGGGATTTAATTTTTAAAACCTGATTCTTTTTTTTAGGATTGAGGCATATGGTGCATCCGGAGGACATCTTGCACAACAGACAATCAATAATTATGGTGGTCAAGTAATTACTGTGCTTAATTTAACAGCGGGTACGGAATTAAACGTTTTGGTAGGACAAATGGGTGAAAGTCCGTGTGACAATTTTAAAACTTCCGTTGATGGCATAGTAAGTTAACTTTTTGTATAAATTAAAGATAGCAACAATAAAATTGTTGCAAATATGATAAAACTGATAAAGAAAGTAAGACAATATCAATGAATCCATTATGAAATGGAGAAACTTTATATATTTTAGATTTAAAAAATTAAAAATTTAATGATTGATCAATTAGAAATGTATAACCCCTTAAGGCTAGCAATTAATAGAGTTTTCTAGAAGAGTCATCAGTACGAAGTGCTGAAATACTTATGTAAGAGAGGCGATAGCATATGGAATGATGACACAGCGGTTGCTAATGCTATAATGTTCCCGGGTACTGGTGGTGGCGGTGCAACAATTGTTAAGTATCAGAATGTGATCACTTTAGTTGCCGGAGGTGGTGGTGGAATGTTTCCGGAACAAATTATTCAGTTGGAAAAACCAGGAGTTAAGTAAGTGTATGAGTTTTTCGAATTAAAACATTCAATTATTATTTGTTTAACTTTTCATAGACATTTTATGAAAGAAGTGTTTAATTAGAGAGAAAATTTCGAATGCTCAGTTAATTTTCTGTTATTTTCAAATTATTGATTTTCACCTTTTTTTTCTTTGAAATTGCAGCCCGAAAGGTGGTTACTTTTTCGAGATTGATAAAAATTTACGATCAATTGATTTGCATAGCCCAAAGCGGGGAATCCTTTGGATGTCTGGAGATGGCGCACATCTCCTGCGTGATAGTGTAAGTTTTAAAAGTGGAAGTAACAGTACCTGATAGCATTTATGATTTGTCGGACATTGGAATGCAGTTTACTTTTTCAGAAAAACGAAAAGTGTGAGCAATGTGTTATGATGTCCGGACAGCTGAATAATGCATCCTCTTCCGGAGGTGTATGCCCGTTGGTATCGGTGTGGAAAATTTCGGGAGGATATGGTGGTGGCGGTGCATCTTGCGGACCAGGTGGTGGTGGTGGAGCTGGTTATTATGGTGCGGTTCATTTTTATTTTTTGAATAATTAATGAAGCATAACAAAAATCATTTTATATCGTAGCGAATTAGAAATTAGTATGAATTTTACGGGATTACAAATTTTTTGGCCATAATTTGATAAGCTATCAGTTTAATGAAATGTTTGTTTCAGGTGGAGAGGGTGGACAAAAATACCATGGCACAGGCGGAAAAAGTTTTGTGCAATACAAAAACGCTATCATTAGACCTGGTCTGCTTTTGCTTCTTATTGTAGAACAAAAATATATCTTAAAATTCACATTCATATATTTTACTGTAAAGGGATTAAGTAAGTAAATGAAGGATGGCGCTGGATAACTTTTAAAAAAGTTTAAATACTTTGAGTTTTGAAATATAATAAAAATTCTTCTTACCAATTATTTTGAATTTTTTAAACATATAAAATTTGACAAATTCGCATTTTTCTGTTCTTATTTTTTTTCTAACAAAACAGGTATGAATAGCGGTAACGGTTATGTATTAATTCATCCGTGTCGTTTACATTGTTCATCAAATGCAACCTGTCGTTTTCGCTTGAATGATGCCGATGAAATTGTTTCGTATTGTGTCTGTCCAAATAGTCAAATAGTCGGCGAGTTGCAAGACTGTATTTTTGGTAAAAATACAAATTTCTCTTTAAACATTTTTGTTAAAACTTTTGTAAAGACCATTCATTAGTCGATAAAATAAATGTTATGGTGAATTGAAAGTTGAAAAATAAAATATTTCACTTTATAATCAATAAAAGCTGAAAGAAAATTCATTTAAATTTTCCAATTCAGAAAATAAGAAGGAAATGAATGCTCATCGCAAGGAGACCTTTCTCGTAATGCTCGTTTTTGCATTCGTTTTATTCACGATCATTCTTCTAAGTGCATTTGGAAGTTTTTGTAAGAATTTCTACAGTTTTTTTATTGCTTTCAATTAGAAATTTAATGAAAATGATAAAAGGTTAAAGAGTTTTAAGAGTAAATTACAAAAGAAGAAAAAACTGCATAAGAAGAAACTTTCTGATAATATCTATTTTAATTTATTGTTTAGTTTTAATCTTTCACTAAAAATTTTGATATCTTTTTTTAATGTTACATTAGCAAAAAATTTTATGATTAATAACAGCTAATTTATTTGTTATGAATTTTTCAATTTTTAGGTGTTTATTTTCGGAGACGGTTAAAAAAGGCAAAAATGGAGAAAACGGAACTCAATCATAAAATAGGAATGTGTACTTTAACACCGAGTACACCAATGAGTATCTCCGGAAATCCAATTTATGAACCATTTGGTCCGTGCGCTGAACTTCAACCTATACCACGTTCTAATGTTACTCTGATAAGGTCGTTGATTATGTTCGATGAAAATTTGAAATAAACTGTTGCATTTTCAAAATTCGAAAAAAAATTACTAAAATCCTTTTCACTTTAATTGTTTATTAATAGTTCAAATAAATAAAGTACGAATTGTATTTTAAATCGATAAATTAGAATGAATTGGTAAATAGTTGTAGGCCACTTGGACAAGGAGCTTTTGGTGAGGTATACGAGGGCACATTGAATTGTGGTGGTCAATTGATTCAGGTTGCTATAAAAACATTACCGAAATCAGCATCCAAGCAGGCGGTAAATGATTTCGAAATGGAAGCTCTTATTATGAGGTGCTATTGAATTTTCCTTTTTTTAATTCAGATAAAATTTAAGAAAAATATCAATGGAAATGGTTTCATCACATGAAAAAAAATTGAATGGAATTGCTGTTTGCTTTCAGTAAAATTGGAATTTTTGCACTCTGTAACTTTTGAATGACCAAGAAAATGAGAAATGGAAATTGTAATTTAATTACATTTCACTTAATCCTCACTATTTTATTTTTTAATCATAAATTTGTTAAAGTTTATTTTTCTCTTTTAAGCAAATTTCGACATGAAAACATTTGCGAATTTATGGGAGTGTGTTTTGATGTGACACCGAGACTTATCGTTCTTGAATTGCTAGCTGGTGGTGACCTGAAGTCTTTCCTTCGTGAATGTAGACCTAAAAATGTTAGCCCTTTTATCTTTTACTTTTCAATTAATGAATTCCTGTACTCTTTTCATACCTTTCCTTTTTTTGCAGCCTTTTTACTGCCATTTTACTTCTCGTTTTTCCGCACAATCTGTTCATTTTCTTTTTTCGTTTATTATTATTTTTTTACTCTTTGACATCTTTAACTTCATCATCATTTTAATAATGAATTCATACTTAAGACAAGCGATCAGCGAATTAGAATGATTGATTTGTTGGATATAGCACACGATGTTGCCAAAGGATGTAAATTTCTTGCTGATAATCGTTTTATTCATCGCGATATTGCTGCAAGAAATTGTTTACTAACAAAAAAAGATGTTGGACGTGTTGTTAAAATTGCTGATTTTGGCATGGCAAGAGATATTTATAGGTTTGTCGACTTTCGAAAAATTTTAAATGAAGATATTGAAAATTTCTTTCAAAAGCATTAAATTTAACGAAATTGGAATAATGATTTTGATTGAAATAATGATTTTTGAGATTTTGATATATAATCGTATATTTCCATACTCTGCTAGGAAAAGAAAATTAATTGAGATGAATTTTGGGCCAGAGCAATTAAGTAAGCAAAAAATAGTTACAATTTTTTTTTTAATTTTTAAGTTTAATTAAATGAATTTAAGGCAAGATTATTATCGTAAAGGCGGTAAAGCAATGTTACCAGTGAAATGGATGCCACCTGAAGCTTTTCTTGATGGTGTTTTTACAGTAAAAACTGATGTCTGGTCATTTGGTGTACTGCTGTGGGAAATTTTTTCCCTCGGATATATGCCGTATCCGGGAAAAAGCAATCAAGAAGTGAGTTATTTTCAATTCATTTAATTTTTCAAAACTTTTTTTCAGAAATCAATTTGCAAATTTATTTAATCAAATTTCTAGGTTATGTCTCTAATTGTGAATGGAGGACGGCTGGAACCACCGAACGGTATACCTGATCAAATTTACACTTTAATGTTAGCTTGTTGGAGTACCGTTGATACTGATCGACCACACTTCGATGATGTCATTGAAAATTTGAATTCCATGATTCAAGTATAATTTCAATTTTTAATTATATTCCAATAATACGTAAATATTATTTTATCACTGTTGAAGCATTCTTATCACGAAACTTATCAGTATTGAATGAAATTCAATATATCAAATTCCAGTGGCAATTCATATTTAATTTTCAAAACAATTAAAAATTGAATTTATTTAATTAATTGATTTTAGGATCCACTAATGCAAAATATGCCTTTACCCATAATTATTCATCGGCTATCACAACCACAATCTACTCCCAGTAATTCATCTTTACCGGACAGTCCTTCATCTGTTACCGAAACAATATTACAAAATACCTATTCTCAGAGTACCATCAACACAATATTGAATTCATACACTGAAACAGTTCCATCCAATGATTGTGATCCATTACCCACGAAAGGTTTGTTACAAACTTTACATTTTACAGTAAATTTCTAATCATTTTTTTTATGATAAAATTTAAGATTTTGTTACAAACTGATAAAATTTATTTAGGTGATGGAATTAATTTTAATGTATGTACTCCTTATCAACCACAATCATCCGAGCCATTTTGTGTACTCGACGAAATTCAATCTACACCGCTGTCCTTGTGGGCTAACAATGGTCAGTTAGCAAGTGGAAGCACAGAAACGTGTACTGGCGGTAGTGGTGAACCAGCGAGTAACTGCAATGGTCATGTTTTGTCCACCATAGGATTACACGATGCTGTAGCCGGATCTCGTAGACCTGTAGTTGACACGGTTAGTTCTTCCCGAATATTTCACTTGAACTTCTCAAATTTCCGCGTCCTTAATCAAATCAACTAAGAGCAATTAAGAGTAAATTAATTAGCATACTCAATTAATTAATTACCACATTTAACGCATTACTTTAAAATTAATTATATTAATCAAAGCGAGATTTTACAATTAGCAATTATGAATTTATATATATGAATATACAACTATTTTTTGCAAGAATGTAAAATTTAACAAAGTCCCTAATCGGTGCACGTTTTGTAATAAATATTCCAGGATACCTGTAGTAATCGATTGATTGGTAGCGATTATGCTAATGCAATACGCACCGAAGCAGTATCATTACTAGAAAGACGATATCCACCACCAATAAAGTTACGAGTACCTGACGATTTCTCATCACCCACGATGATAAGCTCTTTGAGGTCATCAAATGATCAATCATTACATCAGAATTACATGAATCAAAGTCAAATTTTATAAACAGTAGCCATAATTACAATTATCTGTTTCTTATAATGTCTAAGAAAATTCAAAATTAATTTTTTGATATTTGAAAATATTTTAAATGAATTGCGGAAATTTATTTTATGAATTATAAACCTTTGTTCACTCATAATTACAACGCTTCTTTTAATATTTACTTTTCTTTTTTTCTCTCTCTCTCTCTCTCTCGTTCTCTAGTCATTAAAAAATTTTCTGGTGTTACTGAAAAAAAACACACTTTCCAATCTGTTAAAAAATTTTGAATATATAATGTAAATACATATATATATATTTTTGTCGCCCTTTGAACTATTGTTGAATGTTTTGTTGTTTGCTTATCTGTGATTCAGTTATTTGCGTAGGCATCCTAATTTTGATTTTATACAAAATTCAAAAGTTCAATTGAAATTTTAAGGAAAGGCACACTTTTGCTAATTTCTGCTTCAAATTCCTTGTTAACCGGATTTATAAAAGTTCGATTTATTCTAAAACCCCAATTATCTAAATTTGTAACATTTTATCGTTACCAATGCCTTTCATATATTTTTACTTTAACAATATATCTTATGCAAATTATTTGATCTCTTTATTTACATTTGTTTATAAACTGTATGATACGAGTGGGTTGTAAGGGAAATTTTTTTGTCACTAAAATAAAAAGTGAAAATCTGTTGAAAAAAGTATGAACAGCTTCTGATCAATTCAAAAAGCTCTGCTCATTTTTCATTTTTTGATTCATAAAATTGCTCTTAAGTACTGCAGGATGTCATCAAAATAATGACCAATATCCAATAGTAAAAAGAGAATAAGATTGGGAAGAAAGTAATTAGTTATAAATATGATTTGAACAGTGTTCGAGAAAAAAAAGCTAAAACTCAGATAAAGTAAGTTTGCTTTTTGAGCAAACTTTTCTAAAAAAAATTTAAAAAATTATGGAAATAAAAATTCCGATAGGTTCAATAAATTATCGGACATCAATAACTTCCGATAGATGCATTCATTTTTATGGTACTAACAAATAAATTCAAATAAAATTTTTCATTTAAATTTATTTGTTAGTATCATTCAATAAAAAAGATTTGAAAATTATTTGGATCTGAAAGATTTTTTAATTTAATTGTATTATGTATTCAAAAACATCAATACTCAACATGCTTCAATGATAATATATATATTTCATTTGAAATTCATTAGAATGTATTCATATTTCATGCAAATTTTGCACATGTTCGATGGTTGAACATTTATGAGTTAACGTTTTCGAGATTTTCGTGCACTCGTCTTTGTTTCTTTCTTAGACTTTGATTTGGAAATTTTCGGTTCCAATACATAGGAACTTTCGTTAGCACTGATTGTAGGTGTATAATAACAACTTTTCGCACCTTGTAAACTTGATGCTTCGGCTAAAATTTTAAGAAATTCATGGATAAATCACATCCATAGCATCAGCTATCACTTCCAAAAACTTGAATTTTCTGCTTACTACTTGTACTTACTGCCTCACCTTTATCAAATATCGATATCGCGATTGCTAATTATATTACTAGCATTGTTAGCATTATTGAACATGATAATTTAGTGCTTAATTATGTATAAAATTTATCAAATAACTGATAAATCTTCAAGGATGTCATTTAAATATTGCCAAACGGGCCAAATGAATAAACTTCGCTTACCAACAACTAATTACTAAATAGCATTAATCAATTAATTCCATTACACTTCCTTATCCTCTGATCTGACTCCTTTTGTATCTTATCCTATCATTGATCCCACCGAAATTATTCTGACATACATGTAAGAGCACTTGCAGTTGGCATCATGAATACAGATCGTTGCTCATCGCTAGTTTTCGGTCCTAAATCGTATTCCACCTTTTCTTGACTAACCGCTTGCTTCACTTCTTTTTCTCTTTCTGATTTTACACCAAAAATCGTGGATTCGCATGCACCTGCTCGTACCAATTTATCTTCTTTACCTTTCAACCAATCTAATTTTTCAGACTGGAACAAACATTACATTCTCAAAAACTGGAATCATACAGTGATCTGTCAAAATATGATTTTAAAAGTCAAATGAATCAAAATAACGAGTTCTAGTTCATCACTTCCAGAGTTATGGCTTAAAAAGATGAAACAATGACTTATGGCATTTAAATGACATGTGACATCTGAATTCATATGTTTCAATATGTAAAATGTTATTGAAAAATGCAGAACAGTTTATAGGAGCATTAAGAATAAAATACTAAATGCTGAAAAAAGGCAATGAAAACAATTAAATTTGGGACAGCTGCTGCAAATTGATTAACAACTTCTATAAAGTAAAATATGTATTTTTATTTATTTTAATTTTAAAATTCAAATTTTAAATGCATTCAAGATATCTCTGAAAAAATCGTTTATTCATTTTTAATCATATTTGATAAAGTAAAAAAATTAGGAGAAGCGATGGAATTTAGTAAAATTCTTAATTTCTATGTTACAGAAGTTTACATTTGTGTGTTGCGAGTAAAAGCTATTCGAGTAAACTGAAGCGTAATTTATTTATGCGAGTAAAAGCTGTCCAAAAACAAATGCAAAAAACCTTGTAATTGCCGTGCACAATAGCATTCCGGAAAATATTCTTGATTAAATGATAATCCGGTTTTGTGTCATATTGAAAGCTATTTATTTGGCGTACAAGTGTATTTACACCGGCTGGCATTCCTTTACATTTTTTAAATATTTTGACATAATCTGAAAAATAAAAAATGAAAAATTTTCCATAAATTACATTCAGTTTCGATTAAGGAATTAGCAAATAATTTCTTTGCAATAATTTTTCTTTTCTTTTTTTTAAAAATTGAATAATGTCAAGGAAACTATTTCGAAATTTATTATAGCCCAAATGGCAAGAAAAGAAAACTGAAAAAAATTCTTTTGAATATTTTGTAAACTGAGAATTTATTTAATTCTGGATTTTTGTTGATGTACACATTTGCTATATAATTGTTGTGGAATAAATTTAATATATGAAAATATGCAAAACAGTCTAAAAAATCACTGTTAGAGAAATTGCGTGATAGTCACTTTATACGTGAAAAGGGAGAGTGGAAAACTGAACTTTTTAAATATTAATGTTTTTACCTTTATCCATAAATGCTTCTTTCTTTTTCAACACAATCTTATGATTCTTTTCGTCCTCCCATGGCAGTGATGATGTGGTCAAGAAGAATTCAACGATCATATAAAGCCAACTTTCTAAGTCATCTTTACGTGAACGTTCCAATAATTTATGTGAACTTCTTGACATATAATGAATATTACCCATTCGATGTACTTTGTCGCGCTTTTTCCTAAATGTATCAAATATTTAACGCTAAAAAAAATCTAAAGAAATAGTATCGAAGTAAGGGGTTGAAGAAGTGAAAATAGAAAATTCAATTGCATACACCAATGCATTTTTATCGGTTTTATAACGTCGTGCAAGGCCAAATCCAGAAAGGAACAATTTGCTTCTTTCTGCTTCTAATCCAATCGCATAAACTGCTGGCTTTATATCTTTCGAAAAGAAAAAAAATTTCTTGAAATTTTATTGAAGTTTCAATAAATATACAAATCAAATCTTCATTTTTTAAATCGTTTAAACAAAGAAATTTTTAAATTTTTCATAAAAAATGCAATGAAAAAAAGGAAAGAAGAAATAACATGCAAGACTTTGAAATTACTCATCTAATTGAAATTACTCTTCTACCTCGATGAACAAATCCAATTTTATGAATTTCTTCGATGCACTCAATGGTCAAATATGAAAGCTTTAGACTCGTAGCAAGGGAAAATTCACCAAACTTATCACGGAGGTCACTGATCGTATCACCAAACTGTAGATCAATTTTTGTTCATCATAAAAAGTAGAAAATTATCTGTAGACAATTAGTAATTTAAATGAGGAGTAAAGATAATTTTTTTCTCTTACGATAATTTGAAATTTTCCAGATGGCAGTAACTGTTTGATTTGTTATTCAGTCCAATAAAAATTCAAATTTTAAATCAGTTTTAAAGGAACATGACTGTTACTGAAAAAAAAGTCAAAAATGCTATGCGCGACTTTTAGTTAGCAAAAAT